ATTTACAGTTTATAGTGGAAAAAGTTACAGCTGGAATTTCATTTTTAATGAAATCTAAAACCACATTTAATACAAATCTTTAAATTCAAAATATCAATAAAATGCAATTAGATTAAATTTTGTACATGAATTTGATCTAGCAAATCCAGTTATTTATATTGCTATTATTTACCTGTATTTGACACAAAGTTATCCAATGTTAAATTTCAGTAGGGAATCAAATATAACACCACAACAAACTGTGTATATCTTTCTTTCTTTTGTTCATATCAATTCAATGTTTAACAGAACAAGTATTTCATACTGAAAAATGTGACACTATTAAGTTGATTTGTCTCTGCATTAACCATTAACCAGCATTTACTTTGCATGTCTCATATGGGAGTAGCATGATCAATTGTTTATAGGAAAAAGCTGTGATCAGGAGAATCTGAGAACTCTGGATGTACTAGTAGATGGATTTGAATTAAACAGAATAGACTGAAGGAGATAGGACTGTTACAGCCATAAAACTGTGATGAATGCACAGGGGGCAGACAGCTATAAAATAAAGTAATAAGCAGTTTTTTTATATTTTTAGCTTACTAGGATAATCTTAATGTTAGATTTTCATAGCAAAATAGCAATATCAATAAGGAATTAGGAAAGATTGTGTTTTTTAATAATATGTATACTCAGGTATCAGAGGTGATGAACTTACTATTGATCTTAAAGGATCAATCTGTAAGGGCTTAAGTCTGAGCAATGTAAAATGATAGATCTATTTAAGGTTCTTTTAATTCCTTTGTATTGCTTATATTCACATGACTTTTATACTTTTAAACAGTACATCAGATGTATGTCTTATTTAGTTTATTTGGAACATCAATTTAAGATTCCTAAACAACCTTCTAAGATGATTCAAAGTCTCACATTCCATGGGAGCTGACTCAGAATTATCTGAAAATAAAATTCTATTATATACGGTATATTACCATATAGAAATATTTTAATTTGATACAAGTGTGCTGTCTGAGCAATGTAAAATCAATTCAGGCAGGATTTTAAGTAAAAAACAATCAAAAGCATAAGGAAGGAAAGGCATTTTACATACTCTTTCAATAAATTTGGAGCAAGAGTGACTCAGGGGTTCACAAACTGCAGCCAATTATAGTATGTATGTACAGTACTGTATATGTACAGGAATGTTAATTGTGAATTTACCTGAATACAAAGTGACCTAATGTAACTTCAAA